TTATATATATATATATATATATATATATATATATATATATATATATAAAAGTATATTTATAAATAAATAAATAAATAAGTGGCTGTGAATCAGACATTTAGTAGTTTGCAATTTATACATTTAATATTCTTATTTTCAGGATCCTTGTATGTACCTTTATTTATTACATTTTTATTATAATTATGTTACTTATCTTGATTGTTTTTAGCTTCAAACAAAAAATTAATAAAATACAGTTGATATATGGAGATTTTTTTATTATTATTTTGTAATTTCTCTTTGTTTTGATTTATTGCATAATAATGGGTCATTTTAGTAAATGCATATTTGTCATATTTGTCACAAAGTAAAATAACATTCATACATATATACATAATATAATAATATAATATGTTATATAATATAACATTTATATTACAATATATCAATACATTAAAATATATTATGATATATAATACTGAATTATATTATAATGTGCTATATGATATTATAATAAATTATATTATAACATATTTTATTTTATTTCAAAGACCGTTCTGATTGACTAACTTCTGTAACCCGCCCTGTTCTCCTCCTGTCTGGGAAAAGTTCCAGGTTCCGACATGTTGAAGTGTTATTCACGGTGCAGCTAAACACATCTGATCCCCGGTCAGCTGTTCAAAGACGCTGCGAGGTGCCGTTCAACGTACTGCGCCTGCGCAGAAGTCAAAGGAGTCCCGCGGAGCGAACGAGTCAAAGAGCAAGATGGTAATCCTCCGCTGTTTCCGTTTGTTCTTTTCACTGTTGAATAATTAGTAATTTTATTTTCCCGCTTTTTTTGCTTTGTAATTTTTTATTTACTTAACTTTTAATATCAAAGTAATTGGTTATAAATAAATGAATTTCACAAAAGAAATGTTAATAATCATTTACCTTTATTTTTTATTTTAAAAGATGTCCATATCATAAAATAGGAGCATAATGACAAAAAATAATAACAATAATATCAATGATTGAGTGACATTTCCTAATTAAATCCTATTTCACATTTATGTTTGTTTTTAATTTTATTAATATGAGCTGAAATCCCATTGCATATTAGAAGTGATGTCATTTGTCCTGAATATTCACAATATTTAGTGATATTTACTTTTTAAATCAAACCAACAGTCAAAAACTATTTTTTTTAAATCATTAGAGAGAATTTTGTCCTTTTTCACTATTTAAATGTGGAGAATTTCTGCATCATTTCACACATTCACAAAAACAAATCCTACTTAAAAAAACTGCTTTAATCCTTATCTTTAGTTCTGTTAAATCCTTATTTTGTAAAATTCTTAAATGCACTGAACTGCTGAGTAGTATACTACAATTACTATAATATTAATATTAAAATATAATATTCAAAAACAATGACACAGTTATTGTCTCATGATTTCAAAAGTAGAACATTTTGTTAAAATATTTTAAAAAGTTTATTGCTATCACAATTAATCTCAGTTCTTCTCACAATATAATCAATTCCTTGATAACTTCTAATAATTGTCTATGTATGAATCGAATATGAATTATTTTTAGAGAATTTGTCAGCTATGGTAATAAAATGGTCATTTTAATCATAAAATTACATTCATGTCTTAAAAATTCTTAGATTTTTTTGTTTACATGCCATAGCCATAACCCTAAATATTTTAATGCAAAATAATATGATCCATATGAAAGAGGATTAAGACCATTGAAAAAAATTTTAATCTTTGAATTCTGTTTTTTATTTTTACAGTTTTGACTCTGACTCTGAGTTCTGAGTCAATTAAACTCAGAATTTAAAAAAATCACTTAAACTTCGGTTCTCCTCCTGCACAACTCAAACGTATAGAAGGAGATTAGAGCCACAGACGAAATAGTCTATTCAAACTCAGTAATATATCAATAATACTTTATTGATCCCAACGGAAATTAGATGTTGTTATAACTCATGTTAATACAAATACTTAAAAAAGAGTTATTGTAGACAGTGATAGTTGTTGACAGGAAATAGAAAAATTCAATTAAATAAAATGAAAAAATGATCATAAAAAAACAACTATTTAAAATATATAATCTTTTTATAAATAAATAAATAAATTCAGACTTTAATTGTGCCTCCCCCACCTCCCCCCAGATTTCTGAGATTAATGTCAGAAGTCCTGTTTTAAGTGGCCCTCATCCTCTTCCGTAGATTTGGGTTAAATGGAAATCTTCTCCTCCTTCCAGATGTCAGTTTAAAATGCGGAGTGAAGCATCTTGTTGTTTAACCGGATTTTCCATCTTTGAAGATGACAGACTGTGTCGTAGTACATGACGTCGCTGCGCCTCCTTCCTATCTCCTCCCTTTGTGCGGCTGACAGGCTCTTTCTCGGCTTGGACTGGAACACACAGAGGTATGTTCTGTATCTTCCTGTAAAACGAAACCCAGCTAGGTTCCTGTGCATTTCACATGAGTGGGTCGAGTCTCACCAAGAACTGCAGAGCTGCGTCTGTCTCCTCACGTATTTATATTAATATGAAACTGACGTGGAAACATTAGTAGTCGACAGGCCCGTCGTTGTTATGTAGCTACCATCTGCTGCTAGCTTGTGATGCGGTCATTTGAATGGAGAACTTATCTGCAGTTGTGCGGATTGTTTGTAATTTAAAAAGTTGAGCTCTTTAACTAAGTGACCCTCTTGGTGCTCATTGTGCTCTCTGTTTTACACTTCGGATTTTAACTTTCCAACCAGAGTCCCTTTTACCATCTAACCACCTTGACTGTGAGCTAATGCTAACCAGTTAGCCGGCGAGGGCATGAGCATGTTGGCGTGATAACCTTTTTGTCCCCTTCAGGCGCTCCTTACTGGGCTCTCACAAAAGATACTGGACTTTTTATGTCAGAATAAGTCTCACAATGAGCTTTCAATTCTGTTATCCTGAAGTTAAAATAAAAAGCAATGCTGAAAGACAAAGATGTAGAAGCTAAGGTGGTTAGTAAAGTTTATGAATAGACATCTGTGTGATATTATGTATAAACATTTAACCCATATTTACCTTAAAAATCTCACATCCCACACATAAACCTATGACCTAGCGGTTCGTGCTTTGCAATCTCCTACATTTCACCCTATTTGAAGGGTTGCTGAGGAGCTACATGGTGTATTTTTTAAATTAAACTATGAAATACTCTCTCCAAACTATAAAAGTTAGAATTTCAGCAGATTTAAAGGCTAGATGCAATTAGCATGACATATAAAGTCAGACTATAGTTATATGTTACATATATTAACAGCTATGTGTGATTTATAACTTCCTGCTGGAATTTACTGCCACTAAACAGTTTTACTTCTCACGAATTGAGTTGCATGGAATACCAAGTTTCCGTTGCAGTTTTTGTTGTTGCATTATAAAATGTTTGTTGTAATATTCTACCGTAATTTTGTGCTTTTCTACTACTGTGCAGTTGCTGTTTCTGTAAAATGTGGAGATAAGTTGTTATATAAATGCTTGAAAATTACTTAGAATTTTTTCCATTTTTTTGTTCAGATTCACATAAAATTGCCAATAAAATGTTCAAAAAGTGTTTAAAGGTTGACTGCTTTCCATAGAGGCCATTTTCTAATTTATTTAAACCATTTGGAGTTTAGTTAACTCATTTTTTACTCAGTTCATTATTATTTATTGGTTGTCAATTATTAGTGTTAATGTGCACCAATCAGATTATCCACTGATTTGCCATTTTGAATGAATTTTTTTAGTTTTGATGATTTTCTTCCTCAGCAGCACCATTTTAACGTCGGTTCCTCATCGTAATAAAGCCAAACTGGTCTGGAAGGCTAGTTTGCCTTTTTATTCAACATTTGTAAATATAAATGTAATTTTATTTATATAACATATTTTCAGCAAAAGGCAACACAAAGTGCTTTACAGAAATGAAAGTATGTAAACTAAGTGCTCCTGTTCAGGGTTGCTGGTCTAATTCCATTTCTGGGTTGGAGAACAGGAGTCTAAAATTAGTTTCATTTGTTCAAATTTACTTCCTTATCTTGTGTCAATAAACTTTGCACGTTCTCAACAGACTCCAGCGCTTTGCTAGCTGTTGCTCCATTTAAAAATGGTTCCTGTGTCACTCTTATGATGAAACGTCTTGCAGAACTGGGTGTTGGTGAAAGACCGGGACAAAGAGTCGCTCACAGACACGATACAGTTTCCAAAGAGACGTCTTTGTTCTCCGGTTGGAAACATGAACTTTGTTTGGGGAAATTCAGTTCTGGTCAAACCAGAGGAGTCCAAACTTTTTACATCGTCTGGGAATTATTTGCAAATATTAAAGCTAACAGGCTGGTGCTTGTTGTTCTTTAGGTGACCTTCAGCTAACATGGCGTCTTGTTTTTGAAACTTAGTGCACCGTTTCAGATTTATGTTTCTCACAGGTGTAATACAGAGCGTGATCATAAGGAAGCTACTTTTATTTGTTGTTTTCAGACAATGGCTGTACCTCCCACCTACGCTGACCTTGGAAAATCAGCCAGGGATGTTTTTACAAAGGGATACGGTAAGCAGACGACCTATTTAATTAAGAACAGGTCACAATTGGTCTTCAACACTGTTGTAGACTTTATGTTGAATTTAAATCTATTTGGTTTTATTCGGTCAATTAGAATATATTTAAGTTAGTTTGGAGCCAAAAAGTGTAATTAATTTTGTTTGGTAACTTTTAGACCAGTGGAGCCCAAAGTGGGTCCTGGAGGCATCCTGCATGTTTTACTCTCTCCCTGGTGGTAGAAACAACCTGTTCAGCTTGTCAGTGTTCTTCTTAGGCCTGTAATGAGCCATCATTTGATCCAGGTACGTTAAACCAGAACTAAAACCTGCAGGATGCCGGCCCTCCACTCAGCACCATGGTTTGAGACGCTCCCATTATTTTGGCAGTGGGCATCTTTTGTTTGTCAAATCTCCAGTGTGACAACCGGAGGTTTTATGAAATAATTTTTTAACTTTTTAAACGTATTACATCGGATTAAGTAAACTTTCATTTTCATCTAAGTTGTAACAGATTTTTAGTTAATGTGTTGTCCATATTTTTACTAAAAATAAACCAGTCAGAGCGAGGAGGAGGGGCTTAGTTCTGTCAATCATTCTTGTGTATGCTCTGCTAAATGTCCTAATGGCAGAGAAACGACTTACTGTGAGAGAGACACTGTTTACCTGCATATTGGTGGCTGTGCTAGCTAGCCTTGCATTTACTGTAGGCTCAGTCGTGAACCAGCTCGGGGGAAGAGTGATTGGAAGCGCTAAGACCCTCCTCTTTGCTCTGATTGGTTGTTTCTGACTGAGCGTTGTGTTTCTGCTGTTGGATTTGGAGAATCCAGAGGAATTAGTGACGGTTTGTGGCAGTTTTAACCGATTTTTAAAAGTGTTTCCATGGTTACAGCGATGTGTAATCCGGAGAGTTTTTCTGTCAGTTACTGAAAAATAAATGCTCAGTTATCAGTGGAAACCAGAAACTAATTCTTTACAAACGCATCAACAAACCGCGTATATGTACTCTTCACATTATCTTTTCTTGTTTTATTTAATTTTTAATCAAATACCAGCTTCCCACCTCCACAAAGAAACTCTCTGCAGATCTTTAACATAAACCTCAGTTAGTTTGTGTTTCAGTATAAAGAAACTAATTTTCACCTAAAATCTGAACCTCATTGTTTCATCATTTAAGACACTGCTCTGATGTTTTGTTATTTTTTGTTTCAGGCTTTGGCCTCATTAAACTGGACTTGAAGACAAAGTCTGATAATGGACTGGTAAGTTTTCACTGCTGACTGACTGACTGGTCCAGAAGGCAGGAGTTAGTTTCTGTTTTTCATAATTTATTAACCAACAACTGATGGCAGAAATAGAAAGATTCTCCTGTCAGCATCATTTCCCCTTTGCTCTGGTCACTGTCACTTTTAAACCTTCAGTAAACAACAAAAACTAGACTAATATAATATTTTACATATCAAAACATCAGTAATTTAGTTTCAGCCATATTTTATGGAAATGTAAGAAATCAGGGCGCTACGAACATTTTGTGACAGATTTCTGCTCATCCTGTTTGGAGCAGTCTGGTGTTGTGGGTTTAAATAAATAACAAAAATTGCTGCCGGAGTGCCACTAGCGTTAGCAGCTAATAGGAGAAATCCTCCAACCATTAAAATCTGACACCTCCATTTTTATTTACGTTTGGTGAAGAAGGAAGTTGCGCTCAGTTACTTCAGAGGATTATGTGTTGATTCCTTCAGTAGTTCTTGCTGCAGCGCCCCCACAGGCCAGAAGGGGAACAGGTCTTTCAATTAGTGCAGTGAAAAAACGAACCGCAGCAGCTGAAAATGTAACAAATGTTGCAATTTTGGTTTCCAATTGACTGTCAGTTTTAATAATACATTTTCAACTGTATCTGTTCAAAGCAGTATTGGCACTAATGTACGGTTATTTTTAGACGTCTATATTGTCAAACCATCGATTTTCCTTCCTATCTGACCTTACCGTGTGCTTGTAGTCTCTTGGTTGCCTGTTCTGTGTAACCGAGTGACGTCTTTTGCCTTCAGGAGTTCACCAGCACGTGCTCCGGCAACACAGAGACCAGCAAAGTTGCCGGGTCATTGGAGACCAAATACAAGTGGGCGGAGCGCGGCCTGACCTTCACAGAGAAGTGGAACACCGACAACACGCTGGGGACCGAGATCACCGTGGAGGACCAGGTGATCGCAAGGGGAAAATTACAAATGTTTCTAAAAACAAAGATCTGAGCGAGACTGTTGGGAAAATATTCAATATGCATCTTTAAAATTCTTCCCAAGCAGTTAGAAAATGTTGTTTTTGTGTTGGAAATGAATCCTGTTCTCTGTTTTAACATGATTCCCTCTTTTTCTTTCCACAGTTAGTTAAAGGGCTGAAGCTGACTTTTGATTCCTCCTTCTCTCCAAACACTGGGTAATGGCAGCAGCTTTACCCTGGCACTCTTTGGCAGCTTTTTATTAAAAAATAAGCTTTTAGCTCTTGATTCTTGCTTATAATGACTAGAGTTGAGTAGTAACTACAATTACAGATGCATTTACTTGAGTATTTTTTGGAAAAAATGTACTTTTAGGAGTATTTTACTTTTACTGAAGTAATTTCCTAGGTGTTTATTTTTTACTTGAGTAAAAACATAGAAGTGTTACTCTTACTGGAGTATATTTTTGGATGCTCTACCCTCTGATATTCACAACAACGGTTCGTTTTTTCCTCACTGAACGTCTTGCCAGCAAGAAAGGCGGGAAGCTCAAGACAGCCTACAAGTGCGACCACATCAACCTGGGCTGCGACGTCAACTACGACATCAACGGCACGGCCATTCACGGCGCTGCAGTGGTGGGGTTCGAGGGCTGGCTCGCTGGATACCAGACGACCTTCGAGGCCGGCCGGAACAAGGTCACTCAGAGCAACTTTGCTGTGGGATACAAGACCGATGAGTTCCAGCTCCATACGAATGTGTAAGAACTATAAACACTCAGCAGCTTTTATTGGTTTAGCTTATAAAGACCAAAAAACATTAATAAAAAAAATGCAGATTTAGCTAGCAGTCTAATATCATAAAAAGCAAAGATCTGTGCGAGATCTCGGTGTTTATGGGGACATTGATGGTCCCCATAAACCATATAAACACTGCAAAAAGTCATAGAAGTACAACAATGTAAACATGTTGCATCATGACGGATGCACAAGATCCCACCAAAACTGCTCGCTAATAAGTCGTCAAGTTAACACAACGAGCTGCATATTCAATGTACTCGTGATGTATAAAATAAAATGGACGCAGGGCTTTGGGCCAACACTATGACAGCTAGATAACAAGGTCAGGAAAAAGTTTTATTTTAAAAAAGCAAGTGAGAGCGAAGTAGCTCAGTTTATGCTAGCTTGACTATGACAAACGTAAAGTGGATGTGCTGCAGAATTTGGTGTTTCGGTTCGGTTAAAATAAAAAAAAGCGATCTAAACAGAAACTGATAATCAGTAGAGCAGAAGTTTAAAGGTTTTCTGTTTAAAGGCCGGCAATAAATCAATCAATCACATAATAAATTAAAATTAGCTCAATAATCTCCATTTGTTTGATTTATTGTTTTTTCTTTTCTATCTGTCCACCAAAAAAGTCTTCAGTCTACTATTTTGGTCTCAATTGTCCCTTTTTTTAAGGATAATTTTGTTTCCTGGGACTTTATTTGTTTCTCTTGTTTTTTATTTATTTTGGATATTTAAAGTTTTCCAGTTCCAGTGTTAAATGTTTATTATAATTTAAAGGTTATTGATGTTTTAGAATGTGTTATTGCATTCTAATAAATAACCTATTTTAAGTATTTTCTATAAGCTGGATCTTTTAGTTTTCTATAAGTTGGATCTTTTTATGGCCTGGTAATTTATTATACAAGTCAGATGAGGTGATGGTGAGCGTGAGGGACGGCCCTTGTTCCTGCTGCTTCCCCTGGTAAATCCTCTGAAGTCTTTATGTGAGGTCAGACAAACGTTACTGGCTTCTAGGACTTAAGGTAACCTGCTGGTTCTTTACAGCAACGATGGCACCGAGTTTGGCGGGTCGATCTACCAGAAGGTGAACAGCAAGCTGGAGACGGCCGTCAACTTGGCCTGGACTGCAGGAAACAGCAACACCCGCTTTGGCATCGCCGCCAAATATCAGATCGATTCTGACGCATCTTTCTCTGTGAGTTTCATGTATTTATTTCAAAAGATTATTGATTTATCTTTTATCACCTATTTATTCCTTCCCCTCATCTCAATTTAATGAAATATGTTTCTTACCGACTCCATAATTATCAGAAATTTGTAATCAAAACCATGTTATGGTATTCAAATTCAAAAATACTTTATTAATCCCAAAGGCAAATTAAATATTATTATAAAATTGCTATATCATTTATTATAAATAATAAATCAAATTTAAATCCCGAACTCATTAAGTAGAAAAGACCTCGGGGTCAAAAACATTATTCTGTGTTTCCCAGCCACATTGTGTGATTTTGTAGCTCAATCCAGTAATTATTTTAACTTCAGTTGTTATAGAAATGCTACATCTGTCAAACCTGACTTAAAGGGTGTCTGTCTCTTTAAGAAGCTCCTGCTCTGACACTCCGCCTTCAGGAAGTCGTCACAACATGAACACCTTCAAAAAAACTTTTCTGCCTTTTTTAATTTTATCTGCTCTATTATAAACTAAAAGTGTAAAATTAGATTTAAATCAACAAAATAGTCAGATTTTTGTGAATCATGGTTGATGCAAAACATGAAAATGTTTCATCTTTTATAATGACAGGTTAAACTTTTGGGGATTGATTGTTTTCTTATTTGAGCTGTAGATGATTTCAGTTCGTGGATGAAAGCAGAAATATTGAAAAATAGTTCGGCTGCAGCAACTTGCAAAGCAGATTTACTCCTTTCTAGGAAGGAGTTGGCCGCACAGAATCCTCCAGAGGGCCGTAAATGGCCCCTGGGCCGCACTTTGGACATCCCTTCCTTAAAACCACCAGTTTTTTTTGTTTTTAGTCTTCATGACCAAGCGGCCATGTTGTTTAACCGCAGAGCCTCAGACACGTTCCTGCCTGGGAAAAGAGCTGCAGGTCGGCACAGACGATCACAAACCCAAACAGGAAGTCTGCGTACTACAGGAAGATCTCTGCTAATTCAGTCCCGTCTATCACATTAGTCCTAAGTCCCACTTTCCCCAGAGCTAATTAGTGCGGCTGGTTGTTTGTGTCGTCATTTAGCCCCATTCCTATTTGAAGTTACTCGGCTTCAGTTGAACATTTTGACTCTCGGCCCAATTCTGCAAAACAGATTAGAACCGTTTTATTGTTTAATTAAATTATGACTAAAAAATAGTTTCTAAATGGTTACATTTGTTTATATTCCTTTAACTGTGGGGTCTGTTTTTTAGTGTTTGATTTCTGAACATTTGATCTGTGTTTTCCTGACAGGCGAAGGTGAACAACTCCAGCCTTATTGGACTGGGCTACACTCAGAACATTAAGCCAGGTGAGTTCAGTCTGCAGGAAATTTAAAGGGTTTATTTTATCTTCTTTCTTTTTTTTACACATTTTCCTAATTGATTCTGTTTGTTCATTTCTAGGTTCTCAGTCTCGAAATGTGAAAAAGCTAAATGGAAAGAAACACTGAATTTATCTAATTATGTAGCAGAAACTTGCCTGAGAAATGCTCCAATTCTGACCAGCATTATTATGCTGGAGTATCTCCAGAATCCTTAGTTAGCTTTAGCTTGCTGTTCTTGTTACTGTCTTTTAAGTAAAAACGTTGCTAAGTATCACTGCAGTAAAATGTTTTAGCTTCATAAATGCCGTCCGTCTTTTCAGTGTTTGTGAATATTTAGGGAGAGTCAGAGCGGCTCGCTTTATTGTTGCTTACCAAAACGCATCACACTTTATTTTAATGTTTACAAAAATCTTAAATTTTATCCTGAAAATTATTAATTTTTATTCAATTTTCAACAGTTGTCATCACTCCTGATATAAAAGTGTGGATTTTGTTTTATTGTGGTCAGTCAGTCTGATATCATATAATATACATTTAGTCTCCACATACTCCATCATTATACAGTCATAACATTACAACAGCAGTAAAGGCCAAACTTCTGCTCTGCAGCAGCTAATTAAAAACTTTTACTTTTCATTTTTGATAGTTTTCTAACTAAAATTATGATCCAAAGATCACATTGCATTTCTAGAATTTGCTTTTTCTACTTATAAATATTAAATCAATAAATCTTTGGAGGTTTCAGTTATGTGTGTTTGAGCAATGTGAAACTTTCTTTTTACCTTTATCAAAATAATCAATAATTCCATTATTGTTACATTTTTAAGTATCTCAATCTAGTCTAGAAATATTGAGTATTTTAATATTTACTAGTGATTTCTGCTCAGCAATAATATTTACAATATTTAAACATATTTGGGTGTCTGAACGTTTTATTTCTGTTTTTCCATTTGGATAGTTGAGGTTTGTGGAGGATATTCTTGCAGTGCGGTAAAAATGAACGTTTAAATGTGTTTCTGCAGGTGTGAAGTTGACACTTTCTGCTCTCCTGGATGGTAAAAACATCAACACGGGCGGCCACAAGCTCGGTGTGGGTCTGGAGTTCCAGGCGTAGACGGAAAGACTTCAACGTTTCCCCACACACTTATTCCTCACCCAAGAATATCTTAAACCCTCGGAGTAGCCCAGCCCCTCGTCTCCCCTTGAAATGTTACAGGTGGAAGTAAGTGAAGGTGAAACAAATCCAGTTTAAAGGACCATATTTGTGTTCAAAAGCCCAGTTTAGAACAAAGCTGTGAGAACCGAATGCTTCAGTACATCAAGTCAGTTTCATGCTTTTGTTACTTTTTAATCAATTGAAAAGGGAAAAGCCCCACAACACAATTAGCATGCAATTCTATTGTTACTGCTCTAGGTGGCGCTGTTACTTAGCTGTAGAAAGCACTTCTCACTCAGAAGACCTGGTGGTCATGAAACGTTTCCTTCAAACATTTCCGCACTGAGAGTTCCTGTCCGTCTTTGGTGAATTAACAGCTCTGAGCGACACTACGTCCCAACGCGTACATTACTCTGTGTTTTTGTCTCACCTGTCTTTTGTGTCTGTGCTTTTGGTGTTTTTTTGGTTACATATAGCAACAGAGAATACTATTTTATTGAGGGTGTTGCCTAGTTTTAGATCCACTCGAAGTCTTAAGAAGGCAAAGACACGTCAGCCCTCACAGGTAAACTGTCAAGCACATAACTGATGAAGAGTTTGTGCTTCTGGATGGAGGATGAAAAGAAAGGATTAGAAACACTCCAAGGAATGGTTTTGTCTTCCACAACGGGTTATTGGATTGATGGTTATTGTACTTGACAGTTTTGTCATTTCCTGGTCTAAATAAAGAACATCTTGAACCAATTTCTTCTCTCTTTGTTTCTAAGTTGATAACCTTGGTACAAATAAACAACCTTCGACCTTTTGTCACAACTCCAAAGCTGGGTAGTTTCTAGTTACAGGAACTTTTTAGAAAAAAAAATTTACTTTTAGGAGTTTTTTTACTATAATTTTTTCTTGAGTAATTTCATTTTGAAGTATCTCTACTGTTACTGGAATAAACTTTATGGATTTTCTTCCCACTGGCGAAAATCAAACCTGTTTTAACCAAAAATTCATACAATCATATAATTCACAATTCTTTTTTTCAAAGGTTGAACGCTGCCTACAAATGATGTAAAACCCTAAAAACTATTTTTCACTATTCCACTTCATCTACAACAACTTCCTACCAATGCATTTCTGAAAGTTTACTACTTTGTCACAGTTAAGTTAAAGAAAAAATACTCTCCACACGAGATGAGATGCGAACAGTTTGTGCAAAAAACGCAGAACAGTCCACGTTAATATAACAAAGCAATCCTGTCACTGAAACGGCCTTAACCTGTTTGAGTGAGCAAAGATCACCTGGGAGTGTCTGCAAACAGGAATTTCTTTAAGTCTTTTATGCCTGCAGGGTTGGGTTTACTGCCCAGTTCTTTCAGACATTTTCCAGCAGGATTTATGGATTCACTTCCTGCCTTAATGTAGCTGGGGGGTTGATGACAAGCCCTCTGTGTTTTGATGGAGGGAAAATGTCTAACTTCTAAGTTAGAAATGGTTCCTTTTAGGTGTAAGTAGGTTTTCTGATCTTCAGTGACTTTGAAACTAATTGAAGAAATGTCAGATTAAGGAACAAGACAAAGAGGGTTAGCCTCATAACCGTCAGTTGGCAAGTAGCCTGGGTAGGACTGAGCTGTACTGGTGAGGGAGGAACTATCCTCTTGAATGGAAG